GGACATTATCCAGACCCTTCTCTGCTTCCCCACAACCACGGCGAGAAATTGTATGAGACTATTGGGGCACATGGCGGCCTGTACATATGTGGTACAGCATGCCAGGCTGCGCCTACGGCCCCTCCAGGCATAGTTAGCGCAGGTGCACAGATAGGGCAGGGACCCATTGGACTCAATAGTGACCCTCTTGCCTCACATTCTCCACTCTCTCTTCATTGTGGCTGCAACCACAGCTGGTTTGTGTGGGAGTACCCTCTGCAAAACCCCATCCCACGCTTTCCCTGGTCATGGACGCCTCGGCGCTCGGTTGGGGAGTGCACCTGGGCAATCCCAGAACCCAGGGCCTCTGGTCCCATGCAGAGCTATTGCTGCACATCAACATGAGGGAGTTGAGGGCGGTTTGCCTGGCATGCCAGGCATTTCAGGCCCATCCTCAGGGCATGTGCGTATCAGTGCTCATGGACAATACTGCAGCCATGTTTTGTATAAACAAACGGGGGTGCTTGCTCCTCTCCCCTCTGTCGGGAAGCCCTCGCGCTGTGGGACTTCTGTATCGCCCACTCCATACACCTGCAGGCGTCGCACCTTCCGGGGGCGCAGAACGAGCTGGCAGATTGCCTCAGTCGCTCGTTCCATGGACTCGAATGGTCCCTCAGATTGGACATCGCTCACTTGATTTTTTTCCAGAGGTGGGGCTCTAGCCACATGGACCTGTTCGCAACGCGGAGCAACAGGAAGTGCCGGAGATTCTGCTCCTTCCTGAACCACAGCCCAGGCTCCACCGCGGATGCCTTTCACTTCCCATGGATGGGTCACCTGCTCTACACGTTCCCTCCATTCCCCCTCATACTCAGAGTGCTCCTCAAGATTCATCAGGACAGGGCTTCCTTGATCCTTATAGTGCCAGCGTGGCCTCGCCAGCACTGGTTCACCATGTTACTGAACCTCTCAGTGGACAGACCTGTAGCGCTCCCTCTCTCTCCACCCCTATTCACGCAGGGCCACAGCCATCTCTAGCACCCCAACCTGGAGTCCCTCCACCTCATGGCTTGGAAACTCCATGGCTGAACTCTCTTGAGCTTCAGTGCTCGCACTCAGTGAGGGAGGTCCTGTTAGGAAGTAGGAAACCCTCCGTGTGAGCCACTTACCTGGCTAAGTGGAAGCGTTTCTCCATTTGGTCTTGACAAAGGGGAACTGAGCCAAAATCGGCCCCAATTCCCCTTATTTTGGACTATCTTTTATATCTCAAGCACCAAGGGTTAGGAATATCCCTGAGGGTACACCTTGCAGCCATTTTGACCTTTCACCTGGGAACGGCGGGTGGGTCAGTGTTTGTTTGGTAACCCCATGGTGGGCAGGTTTCTTAAGGGCCTGGACAGACTTTGTCCTCCAAATACGTTGGCCCGTTCCCCCTTGGGACCTCAACCTAGCCCCCCTTTGAGCCCAATGACTACCTGCCCTCTCTCCTACCTTTCCTGGAAGGTGGCTTTTCTGGCGGCTATAATTTCCGCTAGAAGGATAGCCGCACTCAGGACACTGACCTCCGAACTGCCTTATACGGTATTTTATAAAGACAAGGAGCAGCTACTCTCCCACCCTGAGTTCCTGCCTAAGGTTGTCTCCCAGTTTCATGTGAACCAGGATATATTCTTACCTGTGTTCTTTCCTAAACCCCATGCCACTAAAGGAAGCGCATGTTCCATTCCTTGGACATTAGACGTACCTTCTCATTTTACATTGAATGCACAAAGCCATTTTGTAAGTCACCGCAGCTCTTTATTGCTATCGCAGAAAGAATGAGTGGGCTCCCGATCTCATCCCAGCGCATCTCATCATGGATCATGTCCTCCATCAGGACTTGCTATAACCTGGCCAAAGTTCCAGCCCCTCCGATTACAGTGCACTCTACCATAGCACAGGCGGTGTCCGCAGCTTTCCTGGCGCAGGTCCCTAACCAGGACATCTGCAAGGTGGCAACCTGGTCTTCAGTTCACACCTTCACTTCTCACTACGCCATCATCTAGCAGGCAAGGGATGATGCTGGGTTTGGTAGGGCAGTCCTACACTTAACAATTATGTGAACTCCGACCCCTCTCCCGGGATAACTGCTTGGAAGTCACCTATTGGAATGCACACGAGCAATCACTCGAAGAAGAAAAAACAGTTACTTACCTCCCGTAACTGTTGTTCTTCAAGATGTGTTGCTCATGTCCATTCCAAATCCCGCTGTCTCCCCACTGTCGGAGTATTCCAGCAAGAAGGAACTGAGCAGGCGGCGGGTCGGCAGGGACATATATGCACCGCCATGAAGGTGCCACTCTAGGGGTCTCCACAGCCGACCCGATGGGTATCACTAGGGGGAAAGCTTTCTGGCGATCGTGCATGTGGTGTGCGCGCGTGTACACACACACACACACACACACACACACACACACACACACTATGAATGGACATGAGACAAGACATCTACGAAGAACAAC